GGGCGCGCTCCGCGGCGGCCGGGGCCCTCCCGGCCACCGCCGCCTCGCAGCGAGCTCCAGGTGAGCGGGGGACCGTAGAAAGCGTGCAGGATCCGGTCCAGCTCCCGCCTGCCGGGCGAGGTACCATCTAGGTGGGTTTGAGCGGAGCCCTCCTTGCCGAGGTGTGGAGCTGAAGGCCGTGGCCACCCGAGCCCCAGCAGAACGGATCTTTCCCTCTGCGTCCCCCAAAGGTTCCTTTTTACATGTACGTATGCGTGTATGTAGATATCAAAGATGGAACACAGATTTCATTGAATAAATCCGAGATCTCCAGGTGCAGACGTTTGAATAGTCGGTGCCAGCACCCCGTGTTTTCCTTTCCTGCCGATTTTGCTTGGATCCGGCTCAAAAACCGAGAGAGTCTCGTGGTTTTGTTTACACTGAATGGGGAGGGTAGGAACAGAGCCATGGCCGCCTTTCATTAATATACAGTGAGGATTTTGTCTAAATTACTGCTATGAATTTCACAGTACACGCTTTCAAAAGCAGTCTCAGGTGGCCCGATGAAACGTGATAGCGCCTGTGCAAACAGATCCACTTGCTTCCTCCCTTTCTTCTCCAGGAGGGTGTGCGCGCGCCCGGGAAGCCCCCCAAAACGCCGTGCTCCTCGGCCCCGGCAAGGCACTTCTGTTTGGAGGTCTAGCCCCGTCCACCTCCCCCTTCGCCGCGCTCGGTCCTCGCCTGGCTCCCTGGCCTCCCCCTCCACGCGGCCCCTCCCCGTCCGCCTCCTCCCTCTGCCGAGTGATTGTTTTGTCTGGAGGAAAAAAAAAAAAAAAAAAATCCAAAGTATATAACAAGGGGAGAACAGTTAGTGCTGATTTTCATTTGCATACATTTTCATATATTTTGGTGAAAATAATAGACTAGTGGAGAGCTGGGCTTCCAGGCGTCAGTGTACAGGGAAGGCTGAGGATGCGTCGGTTCGGGAGAGTTGGGGCTATGCCTCCCCCTCGGCCCCACCCCAGGCCCCTTATTTAAAAAAAAAAAAAAATGAATAAAGCACCTCCTTTGATTTAAAAATCAAACCGTGGAAGTTTGCTCGGTAAGTGTTTTTCATTTTCCTTCCCTGCTTTCTTTGCTTCTTCCTCTCCTTTTTGGCTTATTTGTTTATGTTCTTGGAGGTTCGAGAGCTTATTTTCACTGCTTGGGACAAGAGAGGGTTTCCCAGAGCAACTGTTGGAAGGAAGGAAGGGAAGGTAGTGTGTGTGAGTGTTTCTGTGTGGGGGTGGGGGTGGATGGTGGTGGTGGGAGGATAGGGGGAGAGAGAGTAAAAAAATCCAACCCAGCTAAAATATTACATAAAAAGATGGACTCATTCCAGAGCTCCACACAGCACTTTACTTTGGGGGGGGGGGGGAGGCAAGGGAGGAGAGTGCTTGCTATTCATTGCAATTGTTGATTGTGGTGGGGAGAGGAAGCCCTGGAAAAGGAGTGATTATTAAGCATGCAGTATATAAATATTTCTTGTTTGGGATTTTTTTCTTTTTTTAAGAGGATCAGGACTATAGGGGAAGAATCTTCTGTTTTTGTTTTTTTTGTAGCCAGTGGTGTGTGGTGAACTGTGTGTGCCTGCCCGGCTTGGGGTGGGTGGACTCTTGCTGGGAGCAGGGGGCTGGAGTGAGGAGGGGGCTTGGCAAAGGGAAGGAGGAAGCCAGGGCACCCCTGGTTCACGCAGCGTCTGGGGAGCAGGCGGGGAGCTGCAGCCTCCCAGCTCGGCAGTGAAAGCGCGCACGAAAGAGGGCGATCCATCAAAACCAACCAGGACATCCCCGCCCTTGATTCTCCAAGGAGGCTGGAGCTTCAGCACCCCAGACCCGATTTCGCGTTGTTGACCGTGTCTGACAGCCCTGCTCGCCCCTCCTCGCCACCGTCCCTGGGTTGTGTAAAAATCGAGGGTGTAGCTACCGGCCGGGAAGCAGCTAGGCCGGGTCCAGGCCCGCGCGAGCGTCTCACCTTGGTGAAATAGGCCGGAGAGGATTTTTAAAGCGCCCCGGGTTTGGTTCTTTTAAAGGAAGCCGTGCCTGGGGGTGGCGAGGGGAGAGGGGGGTGGAGAAGAAGACGGCTGGAATTTTATTGCACTTCGGTACACAGAACACCTTGCACTTCAGGATCGGTAATTTATTTGGAAACAGTTGACGCCAACTCAATGAAATGGTTTGTAAGGCGGGAGGAAGAGGTTTCAGCCGGGGCGGGGGTAGGAGTCGCCAGTTTTCCACTCGTTGTTTGTGTGCTTGGCAGCGTCGCTTTTGACTGGGGTTAACTCTGTGTGCTCCACTGGACCAGATGCCACATAGAGCTGCTCCCTGAAGATCATTTGTTTCCTTGATGGGGAACATTTCTGAGCAGAGCATATTGGTTGCCATAGAGAAAGAAATAAAAGGAAGAACACTAGTCACATTAAGCTATATGTTTGTGCACTGGGCTTTAGATAAAAGGGCCTCGGTTCAGCCAAAGAGAAGAAGCCCAACTGGAGATTTCTAGTGCCACTAAAACTAGCTTTATGTTGTCTCGGACTTCTCCAGTTGAAACATATAAGCTAATTTTATTGGTCGTTGTTAATTTTATATGACACGGTTTACTGAACAAAATAAACTTTGCGGGGGGGCGTAGCGCCGTGGACTTGTCGGCAGGGGGCGCACGGACTCGCCTCTGCGCGGGGCCCGAGCAAAACGTTGCTTGTTTCAAAAGCAAATCTGCTCTTCGAAACTTGCCAGAGGGACAAACACACCCCTACCTTTCCATGCATCTTCACAGCGAGGAGTGAATTCACCGCAGAACCCGGGGTTTTAAAATAGGAGGACAATGACCTCCCCATCCCCCACCCGCCCACGCCTGAAATGGCCCAGAGAGAAATACAGCTCGCAAAACCCCGATTCTTCTATTTCTCCCAGGGCAGTGTGTTTAGGGCTGGGAAACAGAAAGAGGCTGTGAAAGCCGGAACCGTTTTTAGAAACGTATTTTTAAGGGTATGGAAGAGGCTGCTTAAGAAGCTACCTCTCAGGTTGTATTTTGGGGGGGAGGGGAGGGTCAAGGAAACAAGACGCTTCCCAAGGCATTATCTGCTAAAGAATGAACATTCTTCAACCTGATACATGCTTTGACTTCTCAATAAAACCTCAGGGTCCTGAAGATTTAGTCGAAGCGCCCAGGGTCTCTTTTATGCCGTGTGATATGTCGTGGCTACTTTCATTCCTGGTACCCGTTATGGTCTTAGAAAGATTTTGCAGCTACCCCTGAGAGGCTTGGTGGCGAAAAGGAGATACAAAATTGCCACGGGCTCAGAGGCAACTGTGGGCTTGCAACTTTTTAGTACATCACTTAACCCAGTTGAAGAAAAGTTTCAAAAGAGCACCAGGTTTCCGCCTGGGAGATTTTGAGATACTGCGGGGAAGGACTGGACTTAATTGTGGTCCAGGAAGGAAAAGATATGTGGAAAAGTTTTTCAGTGAAGGGTAGAATCCTGACTGGTTCTAAGGAATGAGTGTTTGTCACTAACTATTTTCCCAAGGAGATTTAGAGAGCGTGACTAAGAAGGGGGAGCTGGAAGTGAGTAGCTGGCCTCCACGGTTCAGTAGCCGAACGCACCTGTGAATGTGTCACAGAGCCTGTTAGCAAGGGCCACACTAGTGAGAGATCTCGTGTTCCCATGCAAGAGAAGGAAAGACACCTTATTCTTTCTGGCTCCGCTCCGTGTCACCCAGGTTCCAGCCAGCAGAAGTTTTTCTTTGACACTTAACTCTAGTAAGTCAGCATTTGCGTTTAAGTGGTTATGTCTTCTAGGAGGCCGAAAGATTATGGGAACAATATAAGCAAAGGGGCCACCCTCAAATACGTTTTAATCTTGTGATTTTCACCCTCCAGCTCGCACATTTAGAGTCAGGAAATGTACTGTCAGGTTGGTGCTAATAAGACAAAGTAGAGGATTGAGGAAACTGTAATTTGAGCCCAAATATTGCTTTTTCTACAGCTTTCTGCACATTTTAGACAAAAGACTTCTGGGGGAGAACCAGATGAACTGGGTGAATGTCTCAAAGCTCTAACTTGCTTTGCATGCCCAGGGCTGCAGAATGCACTTAAAAATTATTAGGGAGAGGAAACTTTTCTATTCAGACAGACATTTTGCAAAAATACCGGAGAAGCATGCATTCTACATATTTAGGGCATGATTTTCGTGTGCCACTTTTAATGAGACCTGTGATTGTTGTTGTCTAGGTTGCTACTTTCCTTTTTTGCAGATGTAAATAAAAAATAAGCTGCAAGAAAAAAATGCTCGCCTCTCGTGCTATCTATTGTCTTAGGTTCTTTAGTGTAAAAGAAGCGGCAAATAAGAATTCTGGGTAAAGCAACAAGTTAATTTGACAAGAACTGACATCGTATAGAGATGACTTTAACATTTTATAATGATTTGGGGGGTGGGCAAAACTACAGACTTTTAATCGTTGGGGATGGCAAAATTGCTTTTGCCAAATGAGAGATTGAAGAACGCTCCCTGGGTCAAATGTACACAACACCAAGTGGGTATTTACTCATTTGCTTGCATTTGAGCAGGATAAGGTGCGCTGATACCACCGGTGCAGTTTGGAAGCACGTTGGCCATTAGCACTCACAAATGAAACTCACAACCCACACTACGTGTTTTGCACAAAGGGGAGGGCTCATCCACCGTAGCTTTTGGGTGGAAAAGAGTATTTGTCGTCTTGGCCGTGGATGCGTCGTTTCTTGGTCTTGCTAAGTTTTTTGAAGTGCACTCATGGTCCCCTCCCCTCAGTTCTTTGTATCACTTTGATAAGTGGTTTATCTGATCCGTAAGAAGGGAGCAAGCACTCTGGCCCCCCCACCATGGGTTTGAAGGAGTAATTATAAATTCAAAGACACTATGATTTCCTGCCCCAAAGCAAGAAGCTTTCTTTCTGATGCTTGTAGGTCAGCTTGAAACTACAGGGCATTTCAGATTGTGGGAAATAAACCAAGAAGATACGGTAAGTTGGTAATCGAGTGTCTGCTTTTTAAACAACCCATTTCCCACAGTTTGCCCACTCCTGCGGCGTGCGTGCGTGCACCTGACAAGTCTGGGAATGAAAGCTACCAATCGCCAGGGAGGCTGGAGCTGACACAGTGTGATGGGCCAGCCTTGCATGCCCCTTGCCACCCTACCTGCCTCCTCTCAGTGTAATGGTCTCCTTCAAGTTTAAATTCAAGGGCTAGGTAACTAGAGCCCAGCTGACTGAAGATGATGACCCATTAACAACAACAACAAAAAAAACTGGGCGATGTCCTAGCTAGAAAAATATTCCAAGGTCAACTCAGTGCTTTTGTTTTTCTTTCTTTCTTTCTTCCTTTCTTTTTTTTTCTTTTTTTGTATTTGTGTGTGTGTGCGTGCATGTTTAAAAACCAAACCCAGAAATATTAACTTCGCTTTACTGGAGGAGTCATTTTTTTCGAGCTCGTGGTGGTCCTGACAGAGTTGAACTGCCCCCTCTTGGGGACACTCCCTACACCAAACTCCTCTTGTGCATTATACAGCATCGCCTTTCTGGGTCGGACCAGGGTAGTGTGGAGACAGATAAGAGAGTCATGTGGCACCCCAGGAAACAATCCTTGCATTTTGGCGCCTCTGCTTTTTCATTAGATTTTTTTTTTTTTTGACATTTGAACTTAGCTATTGTCTGAGGAGCTGGGTGCAGATGCAGCGTGTCAGGCTGAAGGTTGCTCTTTTCGGGCATCCACGAATAGTGCATCTGTGATGTCTTCTCTCCCGTGAAGGCCGATGCCCCCACTTCCCTGGGTCCTAACCCACCCGAGGGAGCGCCCTGGGCTGGCTAGCCTCAGGGGTGTTTTCAAGGAGGTGTGGGTATTGTTCACTTTTAAAATACAGGGCCAAGTGAATCCATTGGTATTCGATACTTCAAATACCCCACGGTTGGCCGCAATCTAATTCTGGCACGAAAATATCTGGTAGAGACTTTGGTGGTGGAACTAAACGACCTGGTTCACCGTGGCTTCTGGCGGCTGGGGTTTGTTAGTCCCAAGTTAAGAGTGATG